TTTCACATTTTTTGACAAGTTTAAAGTATCAAACTATCGCTCCTTAAAAATTATAAAATTAATTGATTTTCCCAATAATTATGATCGAATTTGTACTTTTGAGATGTTGAAGTAAATAAAGATGTAATGTAAAAAAATTATTAATAAAATTTATTCTGAAATTCTAAAAAAACCATGAAAAATGAAACAAAAACTATTTTTTTAGAAAAAAAGAACTTATATTTTGAAACAGTGGAAATAGTATATTGTTCGGCAATACATAAGTAGTACCTCCTCTCATTCTATATATAAGTAATCTATTTTAAGAAATTCATGTTCCTTTTTCTAATTTTTTCAAAAGGTGTATTATTTATTACTTTCTTCCAATTTTATATTTAGGACAAAGAGAATGAACATTTAATTTGGTGAAAAGATTATCACTAGAAGAAGTTTAAAACTGGAAGAAAACGTGATTTATAAGCCGAGGCCCTGTGGTAGCCATAATTAGGAAAGTCCTAAGTGGGTGGGCAAAATAAAAGGAAAGTCCAAGTATGTAGTAAATGTTTCCGGAAGGAAAATACTTGTAACTGATATAAGCTGAAAATTGGGGTACGTAAACGACGATCCGTTTCAGCGCGTCACTTTCCATATGAATGTTTGCTCTCATTCTCATCCACGGGATCTTGGTTCGCTGATCACCATCTTATTGCAGGTCAACAAGGGGGGCCCACGGTACTAGGTGGAATTGCACGCACGCAATTACTACAACCTACCAAGTGGCAGCACACCACAAAATGGGAAGATCTAAATTCTAAAATGATGAACCAATATTCAGAACGAAGCGGCGAAACCCAATCGAAACCGTTCTGGCTCTGAGTCACTGCGTTCTGCAACTTCACGCGCCAACTTGCAGGAAATTTGACAGTAAAACCAGATTAAGAAAGAATCGAAGAAAATTCATTAATATTAATAGTATTATATTATTGTTGTTGGGTTGGGGTCCTTCTTGAATTGAACGCGCGGGCTGGCGCTGGCTCGCAGGAATCTATATAAGGAGGGGTTTGCAGAACTCTGATACTCACGCTGGCTGTCATTAGTTGTATATCGGTGGCGGAAGAAGTACGGGTGAGTGCGCCGCTTCTGTCGTCACCGGAACAAGAGAGAACTTCCATGACCATGCCTGACTCTGAGGGTAATCCGCAGAAGCTGCGCGATGATGGAGCCACTGATGTTGAATTACCCGGCACCGCTCACCAGATTAGCAGAGGTTCGTTCTTCCCGCCTCAATCACTCACTTCAATTTTTATTTTCTGGCAAGATTAGTTAGATACTTAGATCTGGAATATAATTTGCGAATGAATTGTGATTGAAACTGGAGCTTATTGAGTTGGAAAAGTGGGTTTATTTTTCATTGCTTTGCTCAGAAGTACCAGTGTTCAAGAAATTCTTTCGCTTAATAGTTTGACTACTGGGTCGCTCTCTTGATTGTATTATTGAATCGAAAAGCATTTGTTGTACGACAATACCCGGTGTATATTGTACACTTTAAAAAAAAAAATTGGTTTTATGTTTTTGTGTTTTTTCTTTTTTGTTTTTTAGATTCATGGTTTCAAGTGGGTTTTGTTCTCACCACCGGAATCAACAGCGCGTATGTACTTGGATACTCTGGTACCATTATGGTTCCCCTCGGTTGGATATATGGTGTTCTTGGTTTGGTTGCTGCTACTGCAATATCATTGTATGCAAATTCCCTTATCGCCAAGCTCCATGAGTTTGGAGGAAAGAGGCATATAAGATACAGGGATCTTGCTGGATATATATACGGTAAGTTGAAAGTTGACAATAGAAGTGAAAAACATGCACGCTTCTCCCTTGTGTACATCTCAGTCTCATAATTTGTTACTCTCGTTCTTTTTGCAGGTAGGAAGGCATATTCTCTTACATGGGCGCTGCAGTATGTCAATCTTTTCATGATAAATACTGGTTATATCATTTTGGCTGGGTCAGCACTAAAGGTGATGCAATTTTGGGAAGCAAGTTCATCTTTCCTAACCATTCTCATTAATTTTTTTTTTTTTTAACACTTCGGTGGCTTCTCTATGAGAAATATCTCAATCTTTGCGGAAGAATTTCATAGTTTCCTTCAAGTATTGGACAACTAATCCCATTCTATGAACCAACTGAAGTTTATTAGCCTTTCTATTCCCTTTCTTATTGATCCCAAGCAAATTAATAGGCCCCGTAATTTCAATTAATCATCTTCAATATTTGAACAGGTTGTAAAATCTTTCCCATAATTATTGAATTATTCTGATGTTTGATGTGATAAAAATTGTCATCTACATGACAATTCCTTGTCACTTTTGCTTTTGCCCCCCTTCCACCCCTCCAAAAAAAAAAAAAAAAGCATTTCTGATTTTGTCTTGTACATTATGCTAAAACATTATTTTCCCCCCAAATCTCATCCGTGCATTGTGGTGCAGGCCGTTTATGTTCTGTTTAGGGATGATCATCAAATGAAGCTTCCATATTTTATTGCCGTAGCTGGATTTGTGTGTGCAATGTTTGCGGTCTGCATTCCCCATCTTTCAGCTCTTAGAGTTTGGCTGGGATTATCAACAATCTTCAGCTTAATATATATTGTAACAGCTTTTGCATTGTCACTTAAAGATGGTAACTACTCATATCTGTGCCAAAACAACTTTCCATACATAAGTTTGATATTCCATGCGCTTACTGATGAAATAGAATGTCCTCTGTTTACTTATTCAGTCTTCTGCGGTGAGAATAACTATAGCTATCAATGGGTCAATTGAAATGGACACCTATGTTCGTTCTTGTATTGTTTTTCTTCCTGCTCCGTTAGGATCCAAGTCTATCAATATTCATGATTAAACATTCCGTAAATATGTGACACGTTAGTAGAAAATTGTGGATGCTTGGTCCCCATCGAAAAAATCCTGGCCGCCCTGAATTTTATCTGTTTCATATCGTAATGTTCTAACAGGCTCCGGAGACAACTTTTAACAGAGACAATTTTTAAAGCTTGCAGATCAATTCATTTCAAATTTACTACATTGTCATTGTTTTTCTTCCTTCTCATCTACATATTTGAACATCTTTCCACTTGTTTTCTTTCTTGGAAATACCTTTTCTGTACATCGTATAGCAGCAGATGTCTTATATGAGCTCTCTAAATTGAGCATGTGATGCATCATCGTTAATATGCGATTGACTATGGTATGGCTAATTGTACACCATGAAGCAACATGTGAAGCTTACCGAAAGAATATCAAGATTCTTCTTTTAGTGCCATCATTCAAAATTTTCTAATATTGTTTCTGGGATACATTCGGAAGCATGCAACACCTAGCAGGAAGGTCATGAAGGATAGTTTTTGCTTAAATGCAAACCATAAAGCAGCATCCGAAGCCTAGCAAACGAATATTAAATTCTCCTTTTATCAGCTTTTATTTAAAATTTTCAAATATTCTTGTTATTGGATAATTTGGAAGCATATTATACCAAGTAGGAAGGCTATTAAGCATGTTGTTCCATTTGCAAAACTTTCAATGTTTATGGATTTTGAGCCTCTGATGGCTGACATTTCCGGACTGCCTGAACGGTTGAAGCTTTGAAAAGATAATCACTGGGCAGTGGCGTTACCTCTGAACAATTCTTTCTCCTTTGTGCTGCATTAGTTTATGAGTTTACATTGTAGGCTTTCAGTTCATAAACTTACCACGCGAGTGAGTGTGAAGTGAACATGAACTAATCGCCAGTGCACCATCAGGTTTGAACTCACCAGCTCGAGATTACAGCATCCCCGGTTCAACAAGAAGTAAAATATTTACAACAATTGGAGCGTCGGCTAATCTGGTGTTTGCATATAATACAGGAATGCTTCCCGAGATACAGGTAAAATAGGAGCTTGTAATCCATTTTCTTAGTCTAACGCTGACATATAAATCTCGGTTCTGCGTATGTGCTCCGAAGATTGACATCTTTATGGTTGTGACGCAAACAGGCAACTATCAGGCAGCCGGTAGTCAAGAACATGATGAAAGCCCTATATTTCCAATTTTCCGTCGGGGTTGTACCTCTTTATTTGGTTACATTTACAGGTTATTGGGCTTATGGATCTTCCACATCATCCTATTTGCTGAGCAATGTGCACGGTCCAGTCTGGTTGAAAGCAACGGCCAACATTGCTGCCTTTTTGCAGTCAGTTATCGCATTGCATGTACCCACATGGCCACATCTAAACTAGAATGCTTGCTGATTCAAAATGTTTCCTTTAACAATCTCACTAAACTCAGTCACTCTTCTGCTTCTGTCAGATATTTGCTAGTCCAATGTATGAGTATTTGGATACTAGATATGGGATCACGGGAAGCGCGTTGGCTCTAAAGAACTTGTCATTTCGAGTTCTGGTAAGGGGTGGCTACCTGGCCTTCAATACATTTGTGTCTGCTCTCCTGCCTTTCCTTGGAGATTTCATGAGCCTCACAGGAGCTATAAGCACATTTCCACTGACATTTATACTGGCGAATCATATGTACTTAGTGGCAAAGAAGAACAAATTAACGTCCTTACAAAAGCTCTGGCACTGGTTCAATGTTTGTTTCTTTGGCATCATGTCTGTTGCTGCAGCAATTGCAGCACTACGGCTCATTGCTGTCGATTCCAAAACGTACCATCTCTTTGCTGACTTATGATTAAATCCAATATATTCTTTAAGCAAATGCAAATGTAGTGGCCGCGTGCTTTGTGCTTTAAATAGGCCTTTATTAAGGAATAAGATAAGCATTGCCTATCAGAAGATTGTACGGTTACATTGTGTTGCTCTAGGATTGAAGAGGTGACTGAAAACAGTAAACGCAACTCGGCTTAAAAGTTACCAGAAAAAGTATAGATATAGCCAATGCATTGTCAATTTGTATACTTTCTTACAGGCTGAATAAAATGATCAACCAATTCACCGGAGAGTTTTATACTAGCATCATACGTGCAACTCATCATGCATCGTCAATGATGGACGACTTCATAGCCAACAATTCAATATTTAAAAATTGAGTATAACACCCAGATGAAGTCACAATGAAATCGATTTACGCTCATAAACGGCGTACACGCAAAAACCCCAGAAGGGCAGATAGTTTGGCGGACATCTCAACAATTGTGTAACGTCACTACCTTAGAAAGAATTGCTGAAATAATCTGCAAATACAGAAACCTGCAATCAATCAGAAATGGGAAGCGTAAAATGCAGTGATGCTCCTAGTGTTGCTTTAATTTCCCTAGCAGCTCCTTTTTTTTTTTTTTTGCCCCTTTAAACTGCGCAAGAGAAGGCCAGCAAGGAAGCAGAGGGCTGTTGATGAATTCCAGGATTTGCTTACTACACTAGCTGTTGGTTACTGCCTCCATATGCCGAGCTGCCAAGTAAAAAATACCAATGTTGACAGATTCAGTTTCAAATTCAAAAAGTTGAAAAGGAACCGTAGACATTAGTGCACTATTTCATAAAGGTGTTCCACGATCAGATTAAGGGAAGCTACTGGTTAGTAGAATTTAACTAAATTCAGTTTATGATATATTGCATCCAGCTCTGCCTACATGTAACATTCTTTAGGTAATGATAACGTATGATGGAAGAAATACCACCAGAATGCTTCCAACGTCGCTTTTTAAACGTATATAGCCTTACCTAAAATTTCAATACATAAATTCTTTTCGCGCATTGTCTTTCATAGATGAAGCAAGCAAAAAGCTGATAGTACTCCCAATGGGAACGAATATTTCTTATAATCAGATCAAAGTATAAAATATAAATATACTTAAAAGAAACCAACAAAACAATCCTGGTAAACTGCTGACGCCTAACTCATGTGAAGTGTAAACTTTCTTGGTTATAAAAAAAAAAAAAATCAACAAAACATTTAGTGCAGGTCAGAATGAACTCCTTACCACAATAGGTATCATCCAGAGACCAACTTTACAATTATGAAGATCGAGTTGAGAAGTATTAGAGGAACTCTCAAATACTGAGTTGCATAAATGAGACCTATAAACTGGCCTCTAAATGACTTTGTCTTGCCGCCTGAAAAGTCTGAGAAGCTCCATCCTCTGGGAGCAAGGAAGCGATCCTCATTTAGTATTGCTAGCGCATTTGCAAGAAGCAGTAACCCCTCGAGCAATGTCCACAAACCCATTTTCCTGCATTAACAAGAAATCTAACCCAACTTATAAATGGATACAACTAATTTGCACTTGCTCTTTCATTTGCATTGGCAATTCAACTGATAACAGAAGTAGAAGGGGGAAAAACACAGGAGAAAGACACATCATATGAAGTTATATGTTAGAAAGCCAGCGACAGTCATGCTTAAAGCCCCTTCAATTGTCCCACACGACCGTGCTAACACTGGTCTGCAATAGCAAATGAAAGAACCTTATGGAATCTTATACTATAATTAAAGACTCTTATACCAGCACTTCCTTCCATTGATGCTAATTGTGGGACAACATGAAAATTAGAAACCAGACATTGTCACGGCATTACAAATGTATAATTTAAATTGGATTTGAGAACACAACGACGCAAACAGGTGCTAAAATTTTGGTTATTGACGCAGCCAAATCTTACTACAACAGAGTGAACAGACCACGACAACAAAGGAATTCTAATAGAATAACGAAGACATTAAAGCCAAACTGTGAAATACAGCAATGCACCAAAATAAAATAACAGAACATATAAATGGGATTCCCAGATCTAACCAGGAAGAGAAATTCCCAAAAATGAAGAAGGAGGACAAGAAATCTACTTTAGGCAGGAAAGAATAGAAGAGGGGAAACTTATCGAAGAATTACAGAGAAAACAGAATTTGACCCCAGAGTAAATACCGTAATAGTCGATCCGAAGTCGAAAGATTTCGAGGGAAAGTACGAGAGAGATAAGATGATAAAGAAGACGGTGCTGATGCGCAATCAATCAACCGGACGGACAGCGGAAATCAGAGGAAGAACAGAGAAAGCGGAGAGCCCAGCCTGATTCATTCCCACATTGTCTACTGTTTTTTGGCCCTTAATGTGCTTTCGCTTGGCATTTTCACAGCTAAAAGTCTCGTCCCCCCCCCCCCCCCGCCCAAAACCAAAAAAAAAAAAAAATCCTTCAAATTAAATTAATGATAATTTTGATCTTTAAAATATTATAATTTTATTAAAATTTTTAAAAATTATTCAACAAATTTTAAATTAAAATTATCATTTTTTTGTTATTAACATATAATATTTGTTCAATTCTTATAATTTTTTTAAAATTTTAATTCTTTAAATAAAATTTATAAACGAAATTTATTATTTTAATAATTTATTTTTTAATAATAAAAATTATATTTAATAAATTATAATTTTTTTGTTCAACTCTTATTATTCATAGAATAAATATTATTATTTTTTAAATAAAACTTATAATTAAAGTTTATTTTTCAATAATAGAAATTACACTTAATAAATTATAATTTTTTAAACAAAACTTATGATTGATATTTGTTATTTACTTATTTTCAATAACAATAAAATGGTCTTTTCACTAAAAAAGTGATTGACAAAGATATATCTAAAGACTTCATTAAAATTATAATATTTTGAGATACTAAATTATTATTTATATAATTTAAAAAGATTTTATTATCATTTTTTATATTTTTTTTGTACAAAAGTAATTAGCTTCTATATTTAATGTATTTTTATCTAATAAAATTAAGACATGCTCCCTTCATCTAAAATAAGACAACTTTTAAAAATAATTTTTCATCTAAAATATAACACATCTCACAATAATTAAACACCTTTTTCAATCTTATCTTTTTTAATTAGCTTAAAAGTATTTAATATAATTGTATTATTATTTAAAGTTAAGAGTAAAAATAAAAATATATTTTATTTTTTTACAATATCAAGAAAAAATTAATTTTTTTAAGATACATGAAATAGTTAAAAATATTCTATAGAAAAGATAGGAGGGAGTACAAATTTTAATGTGATATTAACATTAATAATAAAATTTTATTATATAATAAATAATTTATAACATATCTATATATTTCAAATTAATTTAAAACAAGTACTTTTTGAAAATATAAAAGTTAGTAATCCCTTCGTTCAAGGTATTTTTTTTGAGAAGTTATTTGTTAATTTTTTTAAATTACCCGTAAATAATAAAATAGTTTATATTTATTTTAAAATGAAACACTCTATTAAATAAGAATAAATATAAAAAATAATGTTAATTAAAAAATAAGTAATTATTTTATTAGGGATAAAATTTAGTTAAAAATACCTTATATTTTTAAAAAGATGGAGTATATGCATTTTTTTAATATGAAAAATGTGCGTTTCTTTAAATTATACTGTTTAAAAATTTCATATGAACAACAAGCTTGAGTGGAGAGAGGGGGAACTGACAGGAGCCATGGCCTCCCTAACTTTTAAATTTTTTCTTAGTAAAATATAGGAGTTATATATTTTTGGTTTTCATAAATTGGTACATTATATAAGTTATGAAACACTAAATGAAATTCTCATTTCAATTCTACATGTAGTCTTTTATATATGTATATGAGAATTATTATTAACAAATTTTATTAAGTATTACAACAAAAATTTCAATTTTAATATCTATCATAAAATCACTTATCTAAAAGTTAAAAGTTAAAAGGTTTGGTAAAGATGTTTTAGAAAAAAAATTACATTTTTTTTAATAATCAAGCTATTAAATTTTATGATATAAATGTGTTTTTACTTTGATGTAATTCGATCTCTTTGACATAAAGATTTTATGATGATTGAACATTATTAATGTGTTAATATATTTATTTACTAGGATTATCAATTAAAAGAATTAAATAATAAATTCAATAAGTAAGTAATAGAGTTTATTATATTGAATACAACTTTAGATTTTAATGACATATTTAAATTATTTAATGTTCATAGGGATGATAAAATTTTCACCAATTCAATGATAATTTATATTAAGAATAAAATTGATAAAATATTTATCATAGATATAATAATTAATGATTTTTATGTCATAAAAAATTGAAGACATATATATTTAATTTTTTTAATTATCATGTATATTTTGTTATGTTGGCCTCCATAATAAAAATTTCTTGATCTGCCCTAACAACAAGGTTTATTCAATTTGGTGTGTTTGGTATCCTTGTTGTTTGGTGAGTTAGATCGTTAATGGCATAGTCAAATATTTTAAGCGGCGAAACGAGTACAACTGAGAAGGGCTTTTGGCCAAAAAAGAAAACAAGAAGAAAAAAGAAAGGCACTAGTAGCAGACTATCCAACTGAAAATAAAACCAGACCCATGCAGACAACCCAAAGTATAAGTGATAAAAAAATATAGACCCACGCCAAACAGATTAAAGCGTAAGTGAATGCTGAATTAACTCCCATGGCTGATTTGTGGTTCTTGCAGATGATAGATGAGAACACTCACATAAAAGGAATACGCAATCAGTCCAAAAACCGGCTCATCTAAAAAGGTAGTAAGCACAGTGAGTGAAAGATAAGAGAACTGATTTGTTTTTAATCCGATTGCCGGAAATCAATTCCGAAAAAATAATGCTACAGGATTTGGAATACCAAAGCCATTAAGGGTCTGGTCGGAAAAGTGAATCATTTGCATGAACTACAGAGAAGCAGCAGAAGACTATAACAGCAGTTAGAACTAACCGGATGCAAACAACCAAGACAAGACTCTTCCAAAAAAAAAAAAAAACGGAAAGACAACGCCAACGGCTACTGCGTCGTAGCACCAAAAGCTGGACCTCCACGACGCCGCATTCCATGAAAATCCCCAAGAGAATCATGCAACTGCCTTGGGTTTTTTGGCCTAAACCTTGGTAAAACTAGCACAATGATGATGCTCTGTTTTGGGAGAGTTGAACATAGCATACTTCCTCACCTTGCAGGCATTCGACGGGGGAGAGAATGCAATGAAGGTAGGCAAAACAACTCCAACCTTTGGTGAATGTGAAGGCAGAATAGATGTAGGGGACACGTCGTCACTTTTCCCTACACGAGTTCTCCTTCGCTCATGAACATGAAGATGCGCGCGATGAGTACATAGGTTATATCGCACCAGAACTTGAAGCGAACCACAGTCGAGACGTACCCAGAAGACTTTTGCATATCTCCGGTGTGCAAGTATTTATGATCAGTTAAGATAAGAAAGCAAGGCTTTTTGACTCAAATAATGATCCAAGTGTTAATTAAAACTTTCCGGTTTTTGAAAATACAGTAGTGATGCCAATCCAAAGAACTTGAGATACAATGAAAAGAATTTTGGGCCAAACTAGAGGATGATCTGGGAGAGATGAAGGAACCGACTTTAATAGAGTTGTTTGCAACAACCCAACTAATGTCACTGTCCAGAGATGAAGCCTTTTGCTTAAGACAGTTGCCAGGATTATAGGCTGCCACCTGATGATTAGCATGCAAGAGGGCAGCTGTTGAAGAAACTTTTCATGATTTATGCTGGGCATCTTCTGATGAACATTGTTATTGAACAAAAGATCGGATGAAATTTTTCGTTTGAGACATCTGGAAGTGGAAGATGAGGACACCTCAACGTTACCATGCAAACGGACATCTGATGGGGGCCAAATTGTCCAAAATATCATCCTCACCGACATGAATCTTCCAACCAAAGAAGCTACCATTCAGCAAATTATTTGAAGAAGGAATGTCAGAGTAAAAAGTATATTTAGTAAGTCGAACTTATCGCGAAGAGGATCTTCATTATGATAAAGATTAAACTTCCAATCACGAAGAACCATAATACTTAAATTAGAGACCCACGCAGAAACCATGAATGGAGAAATTCAAGATAATGAACAAATGTAGTTACGAGACAATTAAATTCCACATGACCAATGTGCATGCAATTAAAACAAACTGTTTAACCGCTCAACTTGAATGGAGAAATCAAAGAAGACTCCAGATGCAAAGGACACAGTACCGTGAAATTTTCATTCAAATGACAGAAGTAAGTGAACCTTTAATCTGAGTCCATAATTAGCGTGCCAAGGACAATCATGATCAAAGTCCAAGAAAATACCAAAATGATTACCAAAAAAAGGAGCCATCTCTAAAGTGTAAAGATCAACCAGCAAACCATGTATATGCATCCAGAGATCAACTGAGTGGAAAGTAACCCATCTGAAGAGAAGTGAAAGGCTTCCATTCTTGAAGGATGATCGAACCACCATTAAGAAGCCAAGGACCGTTATGTAACATATAAAGGAGATTATCGTTTTTTTTTTTCCAAAATAAAGAGTAAACTTGTTTTGGAAATTAAAAACTGAATCACAAAAATATTCCCTTAATTTTCCAAAACTTATTAATATAGGTCTGCAACTTGAATGGATGAAACCTCCTACTACCCCAAACAATACCATTCATGTAATGAAACTTGTGCCAAGACGAATTCCATCGATGAGTTTAAGGAGAAACCATCACAAAAAGGCTGCCAGATCTAGAAAAAGCCGATGAACGAGAACGACGAAAGGAGAAGCAATGGCAAGGAGAACAGAGATGACAAAGAGACTTAGCTCTCCTCTCCATCAGCGAAACTTCTCAATGCAAACTTGAATTTGTGTTTTATGAACATTAAATTAGTCTAATCTCTTTTGAATATCTAGGAAAAATGATATATTTTTTACTAGATTATTATATACTAAAGAATTGAAATTTAAATCTTTAACCACTTATATAAATTAAAAGATTCCCTAATAAATACTAATTACGCTAAAAACTATCATGCTTTTCTATTTTTTCTTGGATACTAATTTAATGTCGAGTCTTACTTGAGTGTATGTAAACTTTTATTTCACGCGAATGACTGGACGACACAACAAGAGTCATAAACACTTCCGGCAGGATCGGATAGACCCATTAAAAGAGAAGTGGACCGAAGCCCAAGTAGAAGAGAGCCCAGTTATAAACCCAACCTATATTTCAGACTCTCCGTCCGATTAAAAGTTGAAACCCTGGATCCCGTCGGCTGGCGCTCCGCCGATCTGTCCTTCGCATCAACTGGAAGGTGTTGCCAACAAAACCCAAGATGGTGAAGGAACGCCAGGGAGAGCGGGTCAGGTTTGTCATCCAATTGTTAATCTCTTTCCACTTCTCTTACCATGGCTGCGGGACCTCGGTTATACTGTTGATCTCATGCGCTGCTGCAGTTAGCTCTCTACTCGGTTTTCCCCCATCTATGTTGATTATAGCAGTACACTTTTCCGGTGCGCGGCGACATCGTTTTAGATGATTCATAGATAATGGATATTGCTTTGAACGTTATGTACTTATTTTGCATTGGTTTGGAAAATTAGCCCTTATGAGCTATTGCACCATATATAGATTGTGGCCAGGTATAGGAGTTGATTTTTTTGCGCTATTTGGTATAAAATTGCATATATGTTTTCAGGCCAAAAAAAAAAATTGCACGTGTTTAAAATTTGTTATCTATATGATGTAAATAAAGTGAAATAAACATATCACCCAAAAAAAAAAAATGAAGTAAACATGTATTCATTTACACCAGACTTTGGTATCATATTAACAGTAACTGAAAGTTTGCAGCTAATAAGGCGGCATATTTGTGTGTCTGGTTATTTCTATGTGTATATGGGGCCTCGATTATGTCGCAAATTCATAAAATTTCCACATGCGTATTATGCTTTTGGTCTAAATTTTGTCATTTATTTTCGTTTTGTATGATACCGATTATGCATCTTTATAAAATATGCCTAATGTTTTGCTTTCTTTTCTTTTTATATCAGGCTTTATGTCAGAGGTTCGATCCTTGGATACAAGAGGTATTTTATTCTTCTCAAATTAAATTATCATTTTCCCCTCTACATTGTATTACGTGTTTTGTTACATCGAAGATTTCCTACACCGATTTGTTAGATGTTTAAAAAAAAAAAAAGCTGATAAGTTGATAGTGTTTTTCAGGTCCAAGTCAAACCAATACCCAAACACATCACTCATCCAGATTGAGGGAGTAAACTCCAAGGAAGAAGTCGCATGGTACTGTGGCAAGCGCATGGCATACATCTACAAGGCCAAGGTGAAGAAGAATGGAAGCCACTATCGTTGTATTTGGGGGAAGGTTACCCGGCCTCATGGTAACAGTGGTATTGTTCGTGCCAAATTTAAGTCCAATTTGCCGCCCAGATCAATGGTAATTTTTAGGAAATAGAAATTATGAACAATTTCGAATAGCTTTTTCTAATGCTTTCTGAGTCATTTGACTATCAATCTATGTGCAGGGAGCAAGGGTAAGAGTCTTCATGTATCCAAGCAATATATGAGGTAATTAATCCTTTTTATTGATACTCATGGGTTTTGCTTAGACATATTCAGTTCTTTCGTTCTTTTTACATTTATGGAAATGTATGGTAATATTGACTAATTCAGGCATTTATGCTGAGAGATGTTCACTAGATTAAATGCTGAATGTAAAGTCAAACCATAACAATCTTCCTTTTGTGAAGGTGTTTTGAGATTGTGATGGTAGAACTTGAGTTATTTTTGTGGGTTGCTGCTGTCACAGTAGTCAGTTGTTATGCTTTTATGGTTTTGCTTCTTCTGCACAAGGTAGATGACATAGGGTTGTGGTAGCTTTCAGACCTTATTTAGTGCCCTAGCTCATTTTATGTGTTAGTTTGATTATCTTTCATACCTGCAATTCATACCTGCAGATTACTTATGTTTATACGCTCTACGATTTGTTTGTCTCCTGTAGTTTGAAGCTTTCTCCTTGGGAAGTTCTATTGATGGTTACTGCTGAATAATAAGCTATTTGCAATGCTAATACACGATATATCAGTTATCTCCACGCCAAGACAATCATGGGGTTATGATTTGTGATTAATGCGGCTTGTAATTAATTTAGTAACTCATAATAATATATATATGTCGATGATGGCACTTTAAATGCTCACCATGATCCATGTGATTTGTTTGCCTGGCGTGCTCCTTGATACTGATATTGCTGCTTGGTTTATCGCTGGCGGTTAGTTTCAACATTTGCTCTTTGACCGCATGGTTAGTAACGTTTTGTGTGGGTGTGTGCCATCTTATCTTGTTTATCTCATCAATAATAATATATGTTCTTTCTTGTTCTTATTTTGCATTTTGGTTTTCGTCCTTGCAGATTCCCATGACACATCAAGTAGTCTAAACAGTGTTCATCCATAACTAGGAGGCGATTGTTTTCTTTTAGTTTGATTTATGTGGTTTTGTACTCTTGAGCACAATAGTTTGCTTATGATGCGGAAAGATTCGCTTTTTGTTGTCGTCGTCGTCGTCATCGTTGTCTTTTTTGGTGAATTAATTTTCATTATCACCTATGAGAATTGGTAAACGTTGCGCGGATTCTTGATTTAAAAGAAGACCTGGGTATATCTATTATATTCTTTGGCATCTGATTTTTAATAAAATCATGGCATTAGTATAATTTTTTAGCTTAGCATCAAATTATCAAGTCTTTTACATCAAATTTTTACTCATCTTATTTTTCCTTGAAAACTTGATGGCAAAGATATTATAAGTTGTGTAAGCTCTCAATTCTTGATTTGTGTATGCATTTAGTTTGAGCTAAATAATCTATATATATATATATATATATATGTCTAACAATCTACAAGTAGATATAACATTCATAAGCTTTGAACAATGCAATTTGCTATGATTTTTGGAACCACATTTTTGTTTGACATTGAAGATATGAAGAATTTTATCTCAAATTTTTGATCTTGTCTTTAATATTAAAAAAAAGAGAAAATTAATATTTTAATTCTTTTATTTTCACTTAATCTTTTATTAGATCCTTATAGTTTTATAACATTCAAATCAATCTTTATAGTTTGCTTCCTTAAAGGCTTTAATCCTCGCCATTAGTCAAGTTATTAACTTCGTCAATTTATTAATAATGCGGCAAATAGTTTCATATTCTTGTGACATATAGATTAAAAATAGCTACCAAAACTCTTTTCTTTTCCATAATTTCCAGCTCAGCTATATCCCCATGTTATGAATCCTGAAGCTTTGCGAGATGGCGCTCCAAAGAAGGCGGCATCATTCTACTGGAGTTAACTTTCACTACTCTTCTACTTCATCCAAAAACAAGAAGGCAAACATCCTTTGGTGTTAGCATTGAGTGTTTCCTCTTCACTGAATTTTATTGTTAAACATGCTTTGAATGTTAGCATGAGCTTTGTGCGTTTTTTCAACCACCAGGAGAGCTTGTGAAGTTTATTGAAAATGAGAATGAGCTTCCGCAGCAATATGAAGTTACCGATAATAGATTGAGTTTATCTCATGTTCATCATCTCTAAAGAGAGAAAGAGAGAGGGGGAGGGGGGAGAGAGGTAACATCCCTGTTCCTAAGTGGTGTCAGATGATGAAATAATTGTTGATAGCATGACTTAGCAATGACTTGATTGATGGTCTTTGACTATGCACTCAAATGACAAATCAATTGGTTTGAAAATAACCATTGTTTTACAAGCAAGAATATGCAAGAATGAACATGTTTTATATGGCTCTGTTTACCTTTGTTTTCTACACAAAGAAACAAAGGTACTTGCTAATTATGATGCGCATTGAAAACTCTTTTATTGAGACTCCTGCTTGGGTCCAATGGCAATTGTGATATGTGAAGCATTCATTTATATTATCAAGTAAACTAGCAGGCAAAATATTATTACATAACAAACAAGAGACGTCAAGAATGAAATCTCAAGGGAAGTAGGAATAGATGATTAATAAGCTTGTGAATCAACAATTTTCCCTATGTTAGACTAATAAATAAACATTTTTGTAGGAGTTTACGCTGGATGGTTCTAGCTAAAAGTTTGAAATTTTTGATGCAAGAAGGACAAGCTGTGAGGAAGTTTGAATGTAATGAGAAAAATGAACTGTGACGTGCTCTATACTCAGCAGTATGTATACACATATGAACAAATAAACCCTACCCGTGGCAACGATGAAATAGAAGAATAAGCAATCCCAGCGCTTGAAGATGTTCAATTCAGCTTTATTGTGTGTGTTGTTTGCTTTGGACTTTGTTTTAATTCCATGCTCTATGCGATTGGTTCCCCATGTGTAATTAAGATTTAAGAGAGAGCGAGAAGTTTTATATTCTTTTTGCAAGTAGAGAAAGTTTTATATTTGCAGCAAGCCAACTCATACATCTATATTGCCACATCGGCCAAAATATGACGGTGTTAATCTACACAAGACACTAGTAACATTTTGAAAGTGAGAGGATTGACACAATAACGATATGATACTATGAGGGCTAATTTAATCAAATTGAAATTAGAAGGATGAGATGGAAAATTGAGTGAAATTATAAGGGTGAAAAGATTAATTATCCAAAAAAAAAAATGTGGTTGCTCTGTCGATCTTCAGAATATTATCCAATTGCAGATAGGTGAGACTTGGAAATCATATTCAGTTGCCAAAGTGTGTATTGCTTCTTGTGAACATGAGAATCACCTTCCACTCACCAAATGATACCCCGTCTCGATTGCTCACGTCTCAATACGACCTCCGTGCCTAACACGTAAATATATGCAGGGCTGTATTTTTTTAGCCAATTTTGTTAAATATAAATAATTCAGTTGCCATGTCCATATCATTGGTGCAAACAATAATAAATAAACAAAAAACGTGAGCAAAATAATCAAATAATCTCATGTTTATAATTTATAATATACAATAGAACACAATGCGCATCCGTGCTTTTATGTTATCCATCATAATAATAAATTAATAATATCCCAATTCCATTTGATTGCCTGATTTTTTTTCCTAGATCAGGATAGCGAACATCACATTTCCACAGGAGAAATCGTAGTTTGAAGCCAAGAAATAGTTTTGTGCCACGTGCACTTCCACATGTTTACCCAAAGCTGCACAAAAGCAATCTAAGATCTTTTTTTTTACACCCCAAACGGTCAATGATTTCATGGTAACAATATGTGGTGTCACGTTGCTTCTAATGGATTAAAGGAGGGAAATTATTATTATTATTTATTGTTATTATTAAAAGTATAATTGTAACTGTTACAACTGTGCATGACCCTAATAGTTTGAGCTTCATTTTTTTTTTTTACAAAAAAAGGCAAGTTTAAAGTCAAATACGTTAACGTATTCAAATAAATAAAAATAAAATAACAACTTATTCAACAGTCTTATTTCATGTAAATCATCAAATGCTTCATTGATTAATCATAATATTATCACTTATCAGCTACCTGCATACGTAAGTTTTTTTTTGACACAAATTTTCCATACTAGATAAGCAAAAATAATCAAATAAAATCCTAGTATATACTAAAGAATTGAAATTTAAATCTTTAACCACTTATATAAATTCAAAGAGTCCTTACAAATCATGCTAAAAACTATCATGCTTTTCTATTTTTTCCTTGAAAGTAATTTAATATCGAGCCTTACTACCCTTCTATAATGCCTTTTATAATATTTTAATTTTTTAATTGGTTTTATTTTTTTTAATTCATTAGCTTCTATATAAGTTAAGAGATATTTGGATATTTTGAATTTTCAAAATAATAAAAATTTATATTTTTATGATTTTTTAAAAATAAAAGGGTATAATTCTAATATTTTTTTTTAAAAATCATGAAAAACACATCTCTTCACTATTTTGGCACTTAAAGATACCTTTTATTTTAGATAGAATTTAATGATACAAAAAAAGTTAAAATATTATAAAAAGTATTAAAAAATGGCACTTAAAGGCTCTAATCCTGTGTATGTAAACTTTTTTTTTTTTTTTGGTCTCATGTGAATAACTAAACGGCACAAAAAGAATCATAAACAGTACTAGCAGGATCAGGTGGACCCATTAAAAGAAAAGTGGACCGAAGCCCAAAGTAGAAGAGAGCCCAGTTATAAACCCAACCTATATCTCAAGCTCTCCGTCTGATAAAAACCCTCGATTCCTTCGGACCGCCCTCCGCCGATCTGCGCCCTCGCCAACAAAACGCAAGATGGTGAAGGAACGCCAGGGAGAGCGGGTCAGGTTTGTCGTTCAATTGTTAATTTCTTTGCTCTTCTCTTACCATAGCTGCGGGACCTCGGCTATAGCGTTCGCGCTTAAATATGCCGTTTGGAGTGAATTTGACGTCATGTGCTGCGGCTGTTAGCTCTCTACTCATTTTTTTCCCTTCATGTTGATTATGGAAGTACACTTTTCCGGGATGATTAATAGAAAATGGATATTGCTTTGAACGCTATGTACTTATTTTGCATTGGTTTGGAAAATTAGTCTTTGTGAGCTTTTGCACCATATATAGATTGTGGCCAGGTATAGCCGTATAGGGGTTGCTTTTTGGCCCTATTTAGCTGTTAATAATCCCCAACATTTTTGAACTCACGATCGAACGATTTCGTATAAAATTGCATATATGTTCTCAGGCCACAAAAAATTGCACGTTTTTAAAATTTGGTATCTATATGATGTAAATAAAGTGAAATAAACATATTTATACCAGACTTTGGTATCGTTTTAACAAAAGTTTGCAGCTAATAAGGCGGCATATTTGTGTGTCTGATTATCTCTGTGTGTATATGGGGGCTCGATTATGTCGCAAATTCATAAAATTTCCACATGCGTATTATGCTTTTGATCTAAATTTTGTCATTTATTTTCGTTTTGTATGATACCGATTATGCATCTTTATAAAATATGCCTAATGTTTTGCTTTCTTTTCTTTTATATCAGGCTTTATGTCAGAGGTTCGATCCTTGGATACAAGAGGTATTTTATTCTTCTCAAATTAAATTATCATTTTCCCCTCTACATTGTATTACGTGTTTTGTTACATCGAAGATTTCCTACACCGATTTGTTAGATGTTTTAAAAAAAAAAAATAGCTGATAAGTTGATAGTGTTGTTCAGGTCCAAGTCAAACCAATACCCAAACACATCACTCATCCAGATTGAGGGAGTAAACTCCAAGGAAGAAGTCGCATGGTACTGTGGCAAGCGCATGGCATACATCTACAAGGCCAAGGTGAAGAAGAATGGAAGCCACTATCGTTGTATTTGGGGGAAGGTTACCCGGCCTCATGGTAACAGTGGTATTGTTCGTGCCAAATTTAAGTCCAATTTGCCGCCCAGATCAATGGTAATTTTTAGGAAATAGAAATTATGAACAATTTCGAATAGCTTTTTCTAATGCTTTCTGAGTCATTTGAGTATCAATCTATGTGCAGGGAGCAAGGGTAAGAGTCTTCATGTATCCAAGCAATATATGAGGTAATTAATCCTTTTTATTGATACTCATGGGTTTTGTCTTAGACATATTCAGTTCTTTCGTTCTTTTTACATTTATGGAAATGTATGGTAATATTGACTAATTCAGGCATTTATGCTGAGATGTTCACTAGATTAAATGCTGAATGTAAAGTCAAACCATAACAATCTTCCTTTTGTGAAGGTGTTTTGAGATTGTGATGGTAGAACTTGAGTTACTTTTGTGGGTTGCTGCTGTCACAATAGTCAGTTGTTATGCTTTTATGGTTTTGCTTCTTCTGCACAAGATAGATGACGTAGGGTTGTGGTAGCTTTCAGAACTCATTTTGGTGCCCAAGCTCATCTTATGTATTAATTTTATTATCTTTGCTTCACTGTGTCTATGGTCATTGAATCACGGCTATAACTCCACACGCTTCAAATTGAGTTGGTCATTGCTCTTACTTTCATACCTACAGATTACTTATGTTTATACGCTCTACGATTTGTTTGTCTTCTGTAGTTGAAGCTCTCTCTCTGGGAAGTTCTAATGATGGTTACTGCTGAATAATAAACTATTTGCAATACTAATACACGATACATCAGTTGTCTCCACGCTAAGACAATCATGGGGTTATGATTTGTGATTAACGCGGCTTGTTATTAACTTTGTAATTCATAGCAATATATATATGTCGACGATGGCACTTTAAATGCTCACCATGATCCGTGTGATTTATTTGCCTGGCGTGCTCCTTGATACTGATATTGCTGTTTGGTTTATCGTGTGGGTGTGTGCCATCTTCTCTTATTGATCTCATCAATAATAATATATTTTTTTCTTTTTCTTATTTTGCATTTTGATTTTCATCCCTGCAGATTCCCATGACACATGAATTAGTCCAAACTGTGTTCATCCATGAGTAGGAGGCGATTGCTTTCTTTTTGTTTGATTTCTGTCGTTTTGTACCCTTGAGCACAATAGTTTGTTTATGATGTGGAAAGATTCGCTTTTTTTTTTTTTAATATTGTCTTTTTTGCTGAATAATTTTCATTATGTCCTATGAGAATTGATAAACGTTGCACGGATTCTTGATTTAAAAAAAGACTTATTAGGTCTTGTTTTGTTACCAGAAAGAAATGGGACTGAATGAATTGAAAAAATAAAAGTAAAAATAAGATAATTAAAAAGAATAGTGAATCACATTCATAATAAAATGGGTAATTTAATTTATGAAATTTTTGAAGGGTGTAATTACTAACACATTTATAGTATATATTAATGAATTTTATCATCTTTACTATTATTATAAGAAAAAAAAATTGTTTAGTTTATTTTTATATTAATTTTTTTCAATCCATTTTATTTTTTTTAGTAATTAAACTGGACATTAGGTATATCTATTATATTCTTTGTCATCTGATTTTTAATGAAGTCATGGCATTAGTGTGATTTTTTAGCTTAGCATCAAATTATCAAGTCTTTTATATTATATTTTTACACATCTTATTTTCCTTTGAAACTTGATGGCAAAGATATCACAAGTTGTGTAAGCTCTCAATTCTTTGATTTGTGTATGCATCTAGTTTGAACTAGATAATCTCTCTCTCTCTCTCTCTGTGGTGTGTGTGTGTGTGTGTGTGTGTGTAACAATCTACGGTAGATATAACATTCATAAGCTTTGAACAGTACAAGTTGTTATACAAGGGGTCGCATATGATTTACGGAACCACCCTTTTGTTTGACATTGAAGATATAAAGAATTGCATCTCAAATTTTTGATCGCGTCTTTACTCTTAAAAAAAATAGTGGTTGCTTTGTCGGTCTTTTGAATGTTATCAAATTGTAGATAGGTGAGACTTGGGAATCATATTTAGTTGCCAAAGTATGCATTACTTGTCGTGAACATGAGAATCACCTTCCACTCACCAAATGATGCCCCGTCTTGTTTGCTCCTCTCAAAACGGTCTCCGTACCTAACCCATAAATACATGTAGGGCTATGTATTTTTGGCCAATTTCGTTAAAATATAAATAACTGAGTCGCCATGTCCATGTCATTGGTGGAAACAATAATAAATAAACAAAATACGTGGGCAAAATAATCAAATAATCTCATGTTTATAATTTATAATATGCAATAGAACACAATGTGTATCCGTGCTTTTATGTTATCCATCATAATAATAAATTAATAATACCCCAACTCTGTTTTATTTCCTAATTTCTTTCCTAAATCAAGGTAGCGAACATCAGATTCCCATAGGAGAAATCGTAGTTTGAAGCCAAGGAATAGGTCTGTGCCATGTGCACTTCCACATGTTTATCCAAAGTTGCACAAAAGCAATCGAAGATCTCCCCCCCCCCCCCTATGGTCAATGATTTCATGGCAACAAATGTGCTTGTCACGTTGCTTCTAATGGATTAAAGGAGGGAATTATTATTGTTTATTGTTATTATTTTTGTTGTTATGGAAGTATAATTGTAAAAGTAACAACTATGCATGATCCTAATAGTTTGAGCTTCATATGAAAAAAAAAAGGCAAGTTAAACGTCAAATACATTAACGTATTCAGATAAATAAAGATAAAATAACAACTCACTCAACACCTTATTTCATATAAACCATCAGATGATTTGTCGATTATTTATAATATTATCTTTTTTGGCCATTTAGTTATAATATACCACTTATCAACTACTTGCATACATAAGTTTTTTTCCGACACAAATTTTCCATATTAGACACAAATTTTCCATATTAGATGAGAAAAAATAATCAAATAAATTTCTATTATATAAAAACTCGTTATCAAAAGATTAGACTAGTTTTTAAAGTCAATGTGAATTTAAGAGTATATCAAAAAATTATTATCCTCAAGAGGTTCGAGGCATTGAAAGAACCAATTGATTCACTTGTATAGCTTTTTATTTATTTATTTATAAAGGCTGTAGTAGCTACATAAAAAGCCCAGTTAGTGATCACATAATCATGATTATGTGAATGTTTATAGCCATTGAGAACTTGTCTAAGAACAACGTATGAGTGTGTATTATGTTAGCTTTGGTCAAAATGTAACTTTGACCAAAGTAATATGATAATAAAAGTAGTTAGTTTCGACCATAACACACCACACTATTTACTTTAGTTAGACAATCAGAGCCACTCGTGTAGCCTTCATTAACTTAAGTTAACATGACTTTTTTATTTTTATTTTTTTTGGGCGACCAATAAAGAAAAGGAAGTCAATCAACTGAACATGTCGCATATTCCGCTTCATGTAAGGGGAGCCTTGGATGACATGTTACCCATTAATTGACTTAATGGGTACCACAAACTATGCTTTATGGACAATTGTTTTGTTATACCAAACTATTTATTATTTTGGGACTCTAAGAAGATACTGAATAATTTAATAACTTGACTTTCATGCACAGTAACAACAGTAACAGTTATAATATGTGATTAGGTGTACCTTACTGAGATGGGATGCAGTGCAGCACATCGCATGCCCTCCCAACACACAAAGTTTCAATTTTTCAAATCTTATTTTTGCGTTAACAAATTATACAGGCTGCATCCCGCGTGAAAATTCAGAGAAATTATAGGTCAAAATATCGATTTAAAATGCTTATTTTGAACTATTTTTAAATTTTAAAGTTTAATTTAGCATACTTCAGAAATATATTTTAAACAGTAAAGTAATAATGTTAAAGGATTTTTTTACAAAATATATTTATTTAAACTTAATATGAAAATTTTAAAATAAATATTTTTAACTTAAAATTTGGACTCTAATAATTGTTTTTTAAAAAATTTGTGCATCGCTTTCAGTTGTTATGTATCATTCATTTTAAAAATTTTGACCCGTAGTTGACTATTATAAAAAACTTGTTTTACCTAATCTATTTGTTGAAGAAGTACAGAATATAATTAAAAAAATTATTATTATTTTTTTAACACAACGAGAGCGCAGGTATATGACAACGTACAAGTGGGACGGGTTATTTGATATAGGATGTGATGTGTTCTGCCGTCGTAAATTTTGAGGGAAATTGATAAACTCCAACCAAAACAACGGAACATATGAAATGTATTGAAAATTAATCATGCATTTATATGATTATGTACTAAATATATGTGTTGATTAAAAAAAATGTAAACTGTGCTTGTGTACGCGTGTGTTGACACCAACTGTGCTGATGTAATTGGAAACAATTGTTGAGTCCAAAAAAATGGTATGAATAATGGCAGGAAGTGAACGAAATATCCGAAGCAACGAAAATTATTGGACGGACTACCCTATGCGAACATTGTTCGTAGATTCGAATATATTCTATTGCTAACAAGCTCAACGCCTCACTCGTTCGTCGTTTCATCGATTGTCTGTTTAAATTTTAATTTTCTGTGTCTAGCGCAGAGAATCAGAGAGTTTATTTACATAAATACGTTACGAGTACTTTAAAACAACAAAATAAATTACTAATTTACATCCGTATCCGTCAAATAAATTTTTCTTTCCCTTACCAATTTACATAACGTAACTGTTTTGTGAAAATGAGAGTATGATTTTTAGTAAAAATGTATTCCCTGACATTAGGGCTTAGGCCATGAAAATGCTTTTCGTAAAGACTAAAGTTATCTTGTCAAAAATATCTGTTTCAGCAAAACTTTTAAAAATATTGTAAGATATGAGATATATATAAATTTGCCATTCATATGGCTATCATTGGCCAAAAATATCTATGCTGAGTGAATGGATCATTGTATGATGAATATCATGGGTGGATTAAATTGAAGAATTTTAACAATTGCTGTATTCTAATTCTCATATATGCTCTGCTGTGTGTGTTTGTGGAATGGTTCCAATTGGCCGCAGAATTCCAAGTAATTGAATCTTTAATCGTAATCTTGGATCTCATTGGCAGTTTTAGAGTTTGGAGCAACATCTCCCAAAGTACGAGGCCCTATCACTGTCATTTCACTCCCCTGAATCTGGCCTCAATCACGAACCCTATTCACTTTCCCCCCCTTTCCATTTTCTCATCAACTCCTTATTCTTAATTCTCACCCCTCTCCTCTCTCTTTCTCCTCGTCGTCGAGTCTAGACTCTCCAGGGACCTTCATCAATGGCTGCGATTGCGTTCATGGCTCCACCAGCCGTGCCACCTCTTTCTGGCACGTATCATCACTCTCACTTTTTTCTCTCTCCACTTTCCTTCCCATTTTCTCACTAAACAAACACTAGGATTAATCTAGTTTGGGGGATTCTCAGATGGCCCATCACCGGCGAGACCTATGTAGCGCGGGTATGAAGTGAGGTTTCCCAAACGACACCAATGCCTGCGTTTCACTCCACCTTCTTCGTCCCCATCCACAAGGGATCCCTTAGGAGGTGTCCTCGAGGTCTCTGAGGGAGCAGCCATTTCTGTCTCCCCGATTGGCCCTTTCACAAGGTGCGTCCGATCCCTATTCTTCCTAATCATCATCATCATTATTTAATGAAATATTCTGCTGTAGAAATAAGTAAGAAAATAATATAAATATCGTCGGCCTAAAGCGCGTACATGAATGAAGCGTGGCTCTGTTTATATTTTCCTTGTACATGCCAAGTGGTGTGCTAAATAATTCATGGCTGATCCCATCCTCCTTTGTTGAAAATCCACTCCTATACCAAGTCATCGCAAGTTTTGACTAAACTTTTGGTGGATTCAATAAATTTTAATGTATATGGAAATGGATT